AGGGACCTCACAAGGTCCAGATCTGAGGTTTAGACCACATGATAACTCTATATGCTCAAAGTCCCATCAAAAGGTAGAAGAAACCCTAATCTTCCATAGTCATGAGATCTACGCAAATAAATAAGAAAGGTGCAAGCTTTTACCTCCCATTGCAGCCCTTGCATGAAGATACACCAGATCCAACCAATTCTCTTGCTTCCTTGGAGGATAATCTCCTCATCTACTCAAGAGGCGCACTAGTTTACTCCAAGTTTAGCTTCTAAGACCCTCCTAGCTCACTACACACGTTAAGGGTTTTACACAGGAAGGTTAGGCAGCTGGGGAGGCAGAAATGAGGCATAAGTTCTTATATAGGCCCCCAGCCCCCGAGAAATTAGGGTTTCTCTGCCCAACACCAACTTGGAGAGTCGGCTCTCTGACTCGTCGAGTCCAATCATTAATCCCACACGGTCAACATGACTCTACTCGACGAGTTTGACTCACAACTCGTCGAGTCCCTCAATAAACTTCAACATTAAATTCATGAATAATATACCTGGGAGTACGGATGTTACACGATGGTGTAACGATGCTATAACGAATTTTTTAATATTACATATAATTTAATAATTTTATATTATATTTATATAGAATCTATATATTTGAGTATTAAGTATTAAAACTATAAGTCTATATAGAATTAATATCATAAAACCTAAAAAGTCATATAAAAACATAACATAATAATATAGTAATATAGAAACTACGTAGTGTTAAGGTGTCAAATAAAGTTTAATCGCATGGCACGAGTTCGACTTCCGAGTCAACATCATCCAAGGCATTCACCTCTTCATCAAGATCATTCCCCACATCTCTAATATCATCATCATCATCGTCTATATAACGTTCTCGTTTGCTCCTAATATTTGGTTGAGCTTCTACATTCGATCCCATTGCTTCTTGCATATCTAACCAAAGAAGGTCATCACCACCATCCACAAAGTCTTGAAGCTCATCTTCCGTTGGTATTGTCCGGTCATCATTCTCCTCAACATCTCATAGCAAACTAGGATCCAAATATTTGTTTTGTAAAGACATGAAACACTTTTGCAACCTTTTGTTGCATTGGATGAATACAAGTTCATTTAGTTTTTGTTGCAAAAGACAATTTCTTTTCTTATAATGTAGCTACAACAAAAGAATTAAAATTATTTTAGTTAATATGTTAGATGTTCCAATCAAACTAATATCATTTATAATTATAAAAATACTTGTTAAAAATAGGTAAAAAAAACTTACATTGTCAAATGTACTCCAATTTCGTTCATAAGGTGAAGCACTACAAGTTTGACTAAGAACCGTCATCACGTACGACATTGAAAGGTAACCCTACCAAATAAGCCCAAACCGTAATCTTTTTCCAAGCTACCTTCTTTAACTTTTCTTTAATCGGGTTATTTTTATCCAATGTATTTTGCTTTCCTTTTCCATGGTCCGACTTATAAACATATCAATAGGACCTAGTACATTACTAGGACTTACAATTTTTTTTTTTAACTTGTGGGGTATCATCTTGCTCATCCTCATTTTCAGTAAGGTCTATACAACTTGTTGATCTAAGTATTTATGTTGTTCTTTTTCTTTCCTTTTTTATCTTTTTCTTTCATTGATTCAAGCACTTTCTTGGTGATCTTCATAGTCACCTTAGTGCATGCAACTACATTTCCTCCCGTATGAGTGAGGTGTTCTTTTAACCTTGTGAACCCTCCACATACTCTTCTATCACACAAGGTTCACCAAATATTTTGTTTTTTTAATGGATCCTTTTGAACTCCCCATTCCTAAGCCATATCTTTATTTACATTTACACTAGTTGTATCGACATCCGATCTCGTATTAGTAGGAGTGGTGGTGGGCGGATTCACAGAAGCATGTGAAGAATTCCCTTCCATATTTGCCTATTTACAATTGATTAAACTTGTTTCACAATCACATGTCATTACTCATTATTCATTAACAGAATAACAATTTAATGTTTTATGTTCCTATTTCCTAAATCTTAACAAATTACATCACATGAGTACACAAACTGGCAAACATAAATGGATAAATGGATAGTGGAACTTTTGCCCATACAAATTTCGTTTACATACTCTACAAGTGACTCTCATATCATTAAGGTCAAAATAAATAGATTTTGATATCCATGTAAGATAGATGTAAGAAACTGATCAGTGATATATATATATATATATATATATATATATATATATATATATATATATATATCCCAAGTATGATCAACTATCTATTGATTCTGAATATACATGTGGCTATAGGAGAATGAGGACAAATTAAAGGAAAGTGAAGACTGTCATTGTGTTGAAACTTGAAACCGATTAAGTGAACACTGTCACTGTGTGGAAAAATTAAAGGAAATCACAGTGTGTGTCTCTACTGTCTAGAAAAGAAAGCATTGAAGGAAAAATTACATACCTGATACCTGTTAGGGTGTTGGAAGCCGATTAAGGGAAAAGGGAGTCGATGTTGTGGACTATGGACCGTGGAGGTCGATTGAAGAGTAATGAAGAGTGAAGACCAAATTCAAGTTTTCGTGGGCGATTAATTAACGAGTTAGGTCCCAAGAAGAAGCCTCGCAGGTGTGTTTGTCTTCGTCATAGCAGCTCAAGCCTCAAGCCCTCATCAAGTCACGTTTTCCTTTCTGTCTTTGTGATCGGGTACTTTAAATGATTTTAATTAGGTTATTTATTGGGCTTTTTAAAATGTAAGTACCAAGCTCACTAAATATTGTTTTTCATTGACAAATTAATCAAATGGCCCAAATATATTCAAATATAAAAGAGAATGAAAAAGCAGCCATAGTGTTGCTATCTCGGTCATGCAAATAGTGGTGGATGGCGGTTAATAGCGGCGCAAATTGCGGTACCTCGAATTGAAAACGCCAACTTGAAAATAGCGGTTGTTAACTATCGTGAAACGCTATAGCGGCGTTATAGCATCACTATAGCGTGCAATTGATAGCATATCGAGGTATATATAATATGATTTTCCAATAATTATCACCCTCAACTTTGTAAAATTTCATTTTGTCCCCTTAACTTTAAACTTTGTAAAATGCATCTTCACACATTCGGGTTTAAACTTTGTAAAATGTCGCCTTAAACTTTGTAAAATGTCGTTTTAACCTCTTCAACTTTAAACTTTGTATAAATTGGTATAAATTTGAGGTTGTCAACATTTTTTTTCGTACATTTAGAATTCCATTCGTTAATCTAAAAAATATATATTTGTTTTTTATGTACGTATTGGTATAAATTCGATTTTGCCTTCATTTTGACATAATTTTTTTTCCATGCTTATATTTACATATGCTTCCTACGTATTAGTCGATCACATATAATACGGTTTTTATTTAAACTTTCATGCATTAACTTAATAAAATAAACTTACTTGCTTATTTTTATGTATGTGATGATATAAATTCAAGTTTCTTTACATTTTGATGTAAATTTTGTGTACGTTTTTGTGATTATTTTTCTATACCTTTTCTACTTATGAGTTTGGTTGTATATAATACATTTTCATTCGACGGTATAAAATGAAATTATTTAATGATACCACCCCGTTATATTAATCTATCAACAGATATAATATTGTCTAACTTTTATCAATACAATCGTCAAAATTCAACTTAAACCCATTACACCGCTGCAACGTGCGGATGTTAAGAACCTAGTTAAAGGCTGAACGTGTACACTGAAAAATATATTATACTATTAAGTTATTTTTTTGGTTTTAACATGGAATGACCGATTATAATGACCGAATGTAAAAAAGAAAAATCAAATGGTCAAATAAAAAAGAAAAAAAAAAAAACTTAATGACTAAATATACATTAATCAAAAAATATATTATTTTTTAGGGATAATGACTTGAAAGGGTAACGAATTTTCGACTTTTGTCACATTTAATCACTAAACTTTTTTTCATTATCTATTTGCCATTGAACTATTAAAACTGTTCACATTTTACCCTTATGACCGGCTATTAGGTAAAATGTGAACAGTTTCAATAGTTCAATGGCAAATAGATAACGAAAAAAAGTTTAGTGACTAAATATGAACAAAATCAAAAGTTCGTTTCCCTCTAAAAAGTTCAATGAATAAATGTGAACAAACCTCCTCTTGTATTATGTTTTAGCAAATTATTTATTTTTGTTAAATTGTAGCAACATTTGTTGATGAAGAAATCTATGAAATAAAAAAATAAAAAAAACAAAAACAAAAACCCTGAAAATATATTTAAAAAAAAAAACCAAAAAACCAAAACCGAAATAAAAAACCAATGGTTTGACATTTTCCAAAATAAAAAATCAAAATTTCCAATCTGATTTTGGTTTTACAAAAAAATGAACCATTCTCACTGATGTGAATTATGACCATTGGTTTGACATACGAAATTTGTGACATCCCATGAATATGTAGTTACAACATCGTCTGAACTCGTAATTCATAGTAAGGGGTTAGAGTATCATCACATGAAGACGTAGTTACAACATCGTCTGAACTCGTAATTCATCACCTACAGGTTATGGGTCTGCTGGTGTTTCCCCTTTATTGTCTAGAATAGTCTGTGGTTGCCATCTATACTCTAGTAGATGACTACATCGTCACATTGCTGGTTAAGGTTATGGTATATCCTTTCATCCTACATCAGATATTCATCATCATCTATTTACCTAATTATCACCACCTTTCTATCATCACCTATCTCTCATCATTTTATTTCATCACACACCAACTATTTCATCTACCCATGTTTCATCCGCAACATATTTGTAGATATAAAATAAATATACCGTTTAAATCTTTTAAAACGTGTATAAAATCGTTCATCCAGCATACACAACAAGTATTCAAATAATATGCACACATAGCACGTAATTTATATAAAATACTTCATATCTATGTGTAAGATGAAAGTAACTATATATACCATAAATGCTTCCTAACTTTGAACCCCAAGGTTTACTCTACTAAAGCTTCATATTCTCGGCTCTCTGAACCTAGAAGGGTCCAGATCTATCACACCAAAAAGCTCAAGATAGCTCTTCCTCTCACTCTACACACTCAAGCTCGCTAGGGTTCTCACTTATGGGAAAGGTAGTCGCAATTGAAGGCCATAAGTACCTTTAAATATGGCTCGAGCCCAAAGATTTAGGGTTTCTGCCAACAACGCGGACTCGTCGAGTCGCCTCACCGACTCGTCGAGTCCATTCATTAATCTGAGTCATCAATTGCGACCTTACTCGACGAGTTGAGGCGTTGACTCGTCGAGTCTCTCTTCTTAACTCAAAAGAAAAATACTTAAATGATGATACCCGAAAATCTGGATGTTACATTTTGTTTTTTTTATTTCATAGATTTCTTCATCAACAAATGTTGCTACAATTAAACAAAAATAAATAATTTTGCTAAAACATAATACAATAGGAAGTTTGTTCACATTTAGTCATTGAACTTTTTAGAGGGAAACGAACTTTCAATTTTGTTCACATTTAGTCACTAAACTTTTTTTCATTATCTATTTGCCACTAAACTATTGAAACTGTTCACAATTTACCCTTATGACCTGTAACAGCCGGTCATAAGGGTAAAATGTGAACAGTTTCAATAGTTCAATGACAAATAAATAACGAAAAAAAGTTTAGTGACTAAATGTAACAAAAGTCGAAAGTTCGTTACCCTTTCAAGTCATTATCCCTATTTTTTAAGTCATTGTTACTTTTAAAAAGGAAACTAATGCAACCGACAAGTTCCAATTACAATGCACTGGAACGAATTTTGGTTTGGGTTTCTAATTTTAAATTTATATGTTTAATAAGTTGATAAAATTAGGGTTCAAAGTTAAACGGCTCTTTCATTCTTGCTTAAACCCTCGTTCCCCTCTTTCTAATTCCTCAATTTCCGGCAGCCTCGTCATCCTCTTCCCAGTTCACGCCCCCTTCCATTTCTAGGGTTCACGCAGACACGCACAGAGCCACTGGCTATTCTGCAATCGCCTCTTGTCCCACAGTCGCCTCTTGCCGATAACTTCTCGGTTCAACTTAAGGCCTCTCGGTTGCACACTCGCCACAGTTTGATTTGAAGAGATTCTATAAGCAAGAATTAAAGACCACGGTAACAATTTTAAACGATTTGTTTTTCTTTTCTTTTGAACGTTTTTGAGATTAAGATGAAGATGTAAATTCTTTTCCCTATTGGTTTAAGTGTCAATAATATGATGGCAACAATGTATTAGCTCATCCATAGCTCCCATGGTTACAGAACCCTAGTTCCTCATTTCTTGTCGGAACTCGATTGTGCCTTTTACTCACAAGTGACCATTCGGTTGATGTTGTTACCTTATGTTTCATAATCTTTTGTTCCATCTTTTGAGATGTGATTCATTCGTGTTTCATAGCTGCATTAATATTTACATATCCTTTGGAAAGTAACTAACAGAGTTAGATCGATTTATGACAAATTACTTGATGCATTGCATATATTTCTTTGGAAATGTATCAAATTTGATGCTAAAAACCTGTTTTTTCTTTCATTACCCTTATACAGGAATGGTGGGACTATCTATGGGAGAGAAGCATTTTATACAGGGAGGAATTGCTCAAGACCTTCGTACAGATGGGCGTAAAAGATTAACATATCGCCCCATATCTGTTGAAACTGGAGTCATTGCTCAAGTAAAAACCTTTTCAAATTCTTTTTTATTCAATAACATTTCCCAATTTTTAATAAAAACACTTAGCTTATCATTTATGTTCTTAATGAGCTTAATTGATGACAGGCAAATGGTTCAGCAAGAGTAAAGATGGGTAAAACTGAAGTCATAGCTAGTGTGAAGGTATCTTTTGGCCCTTCTTCTTCAGGGATATAAATGTAAATTCATGCATGTTTGTTGATCTTTAAGACCTACATGATTGCAGGCTGAATTAGGAAGACCAAGTTCTTCAGCCCCTGACAAAGGAAAAGTTTCCATATACATCGATTGCAGTCCCACAGCAGCACCACAATACGAGGTTCATAATAGTTTACTTTTGGTCCTCCAACTTTCTTCAAACACACACAATTTACCCTTACAAAAATTCCTACCTTTTTAGGGAAGAGGAGGCGAAGAATTGTCAATGGAACTCTCTGCAGCCTTGCGACAATGTCTTTTAGGTGGTAAAACTGGAGCAGGTATGTAATGTAGTTGAAAACAAAAGAAGCATGTCAAATGACCATTTTACCCTTTCATCTCACAAAGAATGTTTGTATTACAGGAGCTGGAATTAATCTTTCATCTTTGTCAATAGTGGAAGGGAAAGTGTGTTGGGATTTATACATTGATGGTCTTGTGATAAATATAGATGGAAATATACTCGATGCCTTAGGTGCTGCTATCAAGGTAAATATTATTTATAAATATCTAACATCATATACTTTTCTTTTTTCTTTTTAATACCAAAAAAAATCTTACTTTATTATTATTTATTCGATGAAAGGCTGCTTTAAGCAACACGGGTATTCCAAAAGTCAATGTTGCTTCAACTGCTCCTTCTGATGAACAACCAGAAGTTGATGTGAGTGATGAAGAGTTTCTACAATTTGACACAACTGCAGTTCCTGTCATAGTTACTTTAACTAAGGTATGCAGTAATCAAATAGGGAATGGAATTAAAGCATTAGTTATGGTTGTTTTCCACATTGGAATGGAATGGAATGGAATGATATATTATAATTATCAAAATTGAAATTTCCATGCAGATTTGGTCCTTCTTGTATCCCAAGAAGTGCAGTTTGAGTCTTTTTTTAGATAGACAATTAACTCAAGGGACCATTATTGTAATTTGTTAAACGTATGGATCCTTTCTATAATAAATATCTTCACAGGGACCTTTTTTGTAAATTAGAGGGACAGTTTTTGTAACTTACTTTTGATGTATTGTAGGTTGGGAGGCATTATATAGTGGATGCGACTTCAGAGGAGGAATCAGAAATGAGTTCAGCAGTTTCGGTTTCGGTCAACAGACAAGGGCTGATTTGTGGGTTGACCAAAAGAGGTGGGGCCGGGTTGGATCCGAGTGTTGTACTTGATATGATATCGGTTGGTAAACATGTGAGTGAGGAGTTGATGAACAAATTGGATTCTGAAATTGCTGCAGCTGAAGCAACCATGGAAGAGGAGTGACTCATCACTCATGACTCATTATGATCATGTTTTTAATGGATGTAAAGAGATTAGAGAGAGAGAGGTATTATTGTGTTCATTATTTTGAAAGTTTTGGTTAGAACATTTTATGAGGTTAAAATGACATTTTGATGTAATGTGTTATAAATGATATACGGGTAGTTATGTTTTAATTTGAAACTAGGGAGATGTTTTGGATGTGTGTTTTGAAAGTTGTTAGTTACTATGGTTTTATCATTTATGGTAGTGAGTTAGATCATTATTTGTTTGATGGAAGTTACTATTGTTGGATAGTTTTTGACTTTTTGTGTTTTGAGTATTTGGATTATCTACTTTACCAATCTTTTTGATTTGGCATTGAAAATAATGAGTATGAGAGTTTGGGAAGGAGACCAATCCCGCAACCAAGTGCAAAACCTAAGGATGACATTTGGAACAATCTGAGAATACGGTTTGAATTTATGACTTTTTGTAAAGGATAGGGACCGAATTTGTAACTTACTCTATAAGTTACTTGATATCCTTTAAAACGTTTAAGCTTTTATTCCTCATATCTAATTATCTATTACAAAACTAGTTTATAACCAGTAAGATTAATTAAACTTTCAAATTAAAAATACAAAAATATTAATCAATTATTAAAAATAAAAATATTAATTAATTAAGAGTTATTTTTTTAGTTATATAAAATAATAATCGTTGATTTAAATAAATGTATCAAGTTATATCACCTTATAATTTGTAGTAAGTTTGTTTTATTTTTTAATCTAATGTTATTAATTTAATATAATTAAAGTGAACAATTTTAAAATTTAAAATGGAGAACCAATTATTAATTTAATGTAATTAAACTGATAAATTTAAAATTTGAAATTTGAAATTGATAATTAATAAGTTGACAATAGGTAGCATTTATTATTAATGAGAAGTTCAAATAATATGATACTTATCATTAGAAGAATAAACATATTCAATTATTAGAATAGAAAGAAAAGATTCAATGAAAGTTCAAAATGTTATTCAATTTACATGGAAAATATCAAAATGTTATTATATATATATATATATATATATATATATATATATATATATATATATATATATATATATATATATATATATATATATATATCATAAAGTTCAAGGCTTTGTTCTATATACATAAATAAAATAAAATAAAATAAAAAAATAAAAAAAAATCAAAGCTTCATTAAATATACATCTTAATAGTTTCATTTGATCATGTCGTAAAGTTAAATTTTCTTTATTAAATATACATCAAAAGTCCAAAGCTTCGTTTAACATCACAAAGTCACAACTCTATTTATATGCATAACAATAACAAGGTTCAAAACTTTATTCAATATACATCATAAACATAAAGTTCAAAACTTTGTTCGATATGCATTACAAAGTTCCAAGTTTTATTTCATATACATTAGAAAGTTCAAAACTTTATTCGATATATATCACAAAATCACAAACTTTATTTGATATATATCACAAAGTTCAAAATTTTATTCGATATACATAATAAAATTCAAGGCTTTGTTCGATATACATAAAAAGTTCAAAGCTTCAGTAGATATACATAAAAAAGTAAAGTTCAAATTTTTTATTCAATGCAATACATCACAAAATTAGAGCTTCATTCAGTATACATCACAAAGTTAGTTTATTTGATATACATCGCAAAGTTCAAAACATTATTTGATATATATCAAAAAGTAAAAACTTTATTCAATATACACCACGAAATTTAAAGTTTATTCGATCACATTATGAAGTTCAAAGTTTATTCAACATACATCACAATAAAGTTTGAAGTTTTATTTGATTTTCAATATACATAACAAAGCTCCAAACTTTATTCGATATCACAAAATTCATAGTTTTATTTGATATACATCACAAAGCTTACTCAATAGTCAATATACATTAAAAAGTTCATAGTTTCATTTGATATACATCACACTGTTCAAAGCTTTATTCGTTAGACATCATAAATTTCAAAACTTTACTTGATATACATCACAAAGATCAAAACATTATTCGATATACGCCACAAAGTTCAAACTTTTATTCGTATGCATTGTTAGATTCACAGATAATGATTTTGACTTTCTCATAATGTCCATGTCCAAAACGCCGACCATCCACATCTTTCAACGTATACATAACTTGATAGCTACTCTATCTTTCCAAACTTTCAAAAACTCTTTACACATCTCACTCAAAACAACTGAATCATGGCCCACTAGGCCTCTCTAACATCTCTTTAAAAACACTAAACACCCCATCTAAATCATCATTCTTCAGTAAAGAAAACATTAACATCTTCACTGTATCTTAATTTGGATGACAAACACTCTTCACCATGCTTTTGTGTAGTTGAAAAGCTCGATCTGGGTTCCTTTGGTCACATTGTCCTTTTTTTAGGGCAACAAACATCGAAGAATTTGGTATTAATTTCTTTTTACCAAGTTTTTTAACCAAGTAAACAGTTTTCTTGGTTTTCCCTTAATTAAAAAGTCCCTGACAACAATGTGTTATAATTCAAAATATTAGCTTGGACCCATTCCCGAACTGCTTCATGTGTGCATACACTTTGAAAATTGCATTGAAAACAAGAGGAGTTGAGTCGCACATTCGATAAGAGTGAAGAATAGCATCGACGAGCTTAGAATGGAGGTGTACACTACAAGAACCGACAATCTTCTTCAAATAGATTCAACATACACAAATTTACGGCTCTTGGTGCGGATATGGAGAATGATTGAATTCGTTTCAAGGGTGAGTAAATTAGGGTTGTAAAGTTCAACCCATTTGAAGAATTTGAGGGAAATAGTGTAATCGTTTTGAAGCTTTAATAGAGTGTCTTCACTCTAAATGAATCAAATTTGGTTAATAATTTATCTAGCTTAGCCCAATCAGAGTAAAGAATATGAAAGTGAACTACGTTAACATAATCAAGATATAAAAAATATATACTTTATAATGACATAAAAAACAGATTTCAGAACCGAAAATAAGTCGTATATGATATACATCGTACTATAACAAAATTTTATCATTATGTAGATAAGAATGACCCGGTCTTAGTGATATTATCAACTATACACCAACAATTATGTAGTAACCAGGTGAAAACTCGTGCATTATGCATATATAGTATTAGAAATATTTAAATCCTTATTATAGTTTAGATTTAATAATTTTTATACTAAGCATTTCATCAAGTTGTTTATTACTAATATTCTGTTATTCTTTATATGTTATTAATGATATCCATCACTTCATATCAAACATTTTGATCATTTTGGATGCTAGTTTTGTTGATAAATTATAAAACAACAACAAAAGATAAGTTGCAAATGAAAATTAAAAAAAAAAAAATTAAGAAACGATATATTAAAATAAAAACCAAAAAATAAATAAACTTAATAATAGAACAACAACAAAAGATAAGTTTCAATTAGATATTAGAGAATAAAAAACAATTTAAAATGACAAACAAAAACTTAAACTATAATAATAGAAAACAATATATAAAAACCAAAAGAAGTTTAACATAAAGAAAGAAATAGAACAAAACAGATAATAATAATCTATTTAACGAAAATGTCTATCAAACAACCATATCATTTCTTATGTTCTATCCCATAAAGTAAAAATTTGTGTCTTCTTATCTCTTTTTCCCGAATCTTAATCTTGAAATACTAACAATCTAATATGAATCCATGAACTATATATGTACTCTAAATCAACCAATTAATATACCATAAGTTACAAAAACTCTTGAGTTATAATACAATCATAAAAAACTTTTTTGATATGTAGTAATTAGATGATAAGTTGAAAACTTGTAAGTTTCAAATGAATATGATTAAAGTATTTTGTCATATTCTCTCGTTATTGGACTCTCTAGACAATTATCTTTTTCTCATGGCGGCAATAGTGGTGGATGTGGCAGACTTGATGACAGAGGAAACCGCGACAGAAGGAACAGTGGAAGAGTTGGCTAGAATGAAGGACACTCCAGTTCTGAATTTGGTCATGTTGGTCAACCTGCAACTTTTGGTTGGTGGGGTATTAGTCATACCCACTTGCCGACTCAATGGGCTTGTCTTCATCTCCTCAGCAGACTGGTCAGCTCTCGTTGCCTCCTATCATCAATCAGTGACCTAACAACCCTCCTAGCCTATCACATCTTCGTAGCCTCGTTAATCTAGGCCGAGCCAACATCCTCATCAGGCTTATGCATCTTCGACTCAACAACAACCCACTCCTCCTTGGCTTGGTTTGGTTCACCTACTTCATCTCAACAACAATGTCAGTCCACTCCTCTCATGTAATTATTTAATGTTATGTTGTTAAATAACCCAAGCAATAACAATTGGTACATGGACACCGGGCCACAACTCACCTTCACGCAGAAGCATGTATTCTTAAAATCTTTAGTGATCACATGTATTGTTCTTCTATATTAACCTTTCTTTTTCTAATCTATATCGTCCTCTTTCATTGAAGAATGTCATCATTACTCTCAATATAATTAAAAACCTTATTTACGTGCTATCACTTTATTAATGAAAATTCATGTAGCATTAAATTTAATCATTTTTTTTTCTATGAAGAATCTTCAAACCAAACAAACCCTCTTGCAATGTAACAATATATAAGATCTTTACTTGGAGAATGTCCATCTCATTATGAAAACGATATACACATCTCCAAATTCGATGACCATAAGAGTTTCATTAGGATGACGAATGTCCATCTCATTAATGCAAAAAACTCCCTCCATATCATATCTATGGACACAATATGCATCATCGGACTCTAACTCTTCATAAGTATTATCATCCCTATGAATCGACTCATCATCGTTAGTTTCATCTTCTTATTTATCTTTAAAACTAGGGAACCATCCAACCACTTCTTTAACTCTAACAATGAACCAAGTTTCAGCAATAGACATATGTAACTCTTCATAAATAAACCTTTTCTTGTTTGCCTCTATACTCAAACTGTTGGTGAACAAATTGACCCCAAGATCATTATCCATGTAGACAATAAAATCCCATTTATTGGCAATAGACTGAAAACTCTTGTTAATCTAAGAATGGATAGGTAACCCTTCAATATCAATCCACATCAACTTTTCTTTGGAAAAAAATCATGAGACCAAGAGTTTAATTCCTTAAACCATGATTTGACAACCTTGTTTTGAGAAAAATTATAACAAGCGCAATCTATGGAAAATTCGAACATTACCTACATATATCCAATATATTGAAGTTCAACATCAAGGAAACCTTCACTTTTGCACATATTTAAGAGCACATGCAAAGTAGTAAACTCTTACACATCCAAATAACACCTTATTAACTTCACCATCTTCAACAATAAAATTCATGACCTTAAGATGAATCGGTTCAACACCCGGTTTAACAACTGACTTGATATAACCACCCACCACATCCGACTCATAAGAGTGCTTCCTAAGGCTTTCATAAAAAGGCTTACGGTTTTCAACATTCGGCTTCACAACAAGTATCTTTCATTTCAAAACCAGTTTAGGTTAATGACAACAACCCTATCCGTCCTTCGAAATTTAGCTACAGATGCAAAAAGTTTATAATTACCAATCCAAATTGTGCAAAGGTTTTTAGTGAGTGCTCCTTATCCATAACATGAATAAAATTTTACAAAATCCAAAATGTTTTCACAATATTGACAACTTCTAGGAAATAAAGACATCCAAAACAACCCCAAACTTTTCACATAATCGTCTTAAAGCCGTGTAAATTATAATCAATGTTACTTGGAAAATTCATTACATAGACATTTGTAGAAAATCTGCTTACTTCCTCAGTGAGTGAAACGTTGTGCATAGCCAATACGATCGATTACGATACCTTTCTCCTGTTGTGGTGCAATTCGATCGAACACATTTTCTTTTTTCTCCTATCAACAACCCACCATTAAACCATTAAACCCTACAAAACAAAACCGTTACCTGACAAAATACACAAGAAAATATAATGGAGATGAAGATCTAATAAAGTCCTAAGAACAACATTGATCAACGAGATTATTGGCTGTCATATATAAATCTTTTATATTATGAAACTTTTTTATTTTAATATTTTGGTTGTTAAATAATATTTATATAAAAAAATTAAAATTTTTAATATCATAAAAATTAATATTAAGTGTTGAAAAATAAAGAGCAATATAATTGAGACTAAATGAGTCATAAATTGATTGGGCATTGACCATTCCTATAGACTAAGGCTACAACAAATTTGCAACAAGGCAACAAATAATTGTGAGTGAAGTGAATCTAGGAAAGTAGGAACTAGGAAGTAGTAGTACGGCCCAGGGTCGATTGTCGATTGTCGAATGTGGTTTGGTCCCAAAGATTCGGGTCAAAATGGGTCCATCTCCTTTAACCAATCAAATATAACCAAAGCTAAGGTGGGTGCGCATCACACACACCTGCGCACTTTTACTCCCTCCTTTATTAAATTAATAAATACTTAGCTTAAAACTTTTACTCCCTTTATTATATAAAAAAATAAAATTTTTATCACATTACACATATATTATTTATTTATATATATTTTATTGATATTTCAAACCTTACATTTTTTGTGGTCGGCTATTTGACGGAATCTCCGATTTCTTCCTCCGCCGTTATAATGTAATTCGACAGTTGCCTATATTTTATTGCCCTTTAATTATGCATCTATTCGAAACCCTAATCCTAAATTTCAGTATATAAATATAGTTAAATACTCACCCTTTTTTATATGTGTATATATATTTAAAGTTGAAGTTTTTGATTTTTTATTTTTCACTTTCAAGATTTACAACAAAGTTAGCGTCTTTCATTTATCCGAGATCTGAAGCAAACTGGGCACGAATCCACCGACTGATTTGAGATCTTGGTACTGTTCAATTGCTTCTGGATGCGGATCTAGGTAAGTTTTACTTCAGTTTTCTGCTTAGATACTGTGTATGTAAAAGTAAATAAATCGTTTTTAGGGTTTTCAATCTCTCCCAATTCCATATTTTTCTTCATTTCAGATGCGATCTTAGCGTTTACTTCAAAATTATGTTCGCATTTTCGTCTTTTTTCATCTGTTTGTGAGTTTTGAGTTTGGACTACTATCAAATTCAGTCCAAGTTGAAATCTTGTTGACGAGTATGAACTTTCCCAAAATGGCAATTGCATTTCATTTGGGGGAAATTAGTTGGGAATTCGGTAATTAACCTTATTACAACCTGTGTATTTCAGTTTAGGCTTAGATTGAAAATTGAAGCTTCAATATATCATTTCTCTTCATTACTAGATCGAAATATCCCAATTGTTACTTATTACATGTTCCGCGAATGTAATGCGATCTTAATCTACAAACTTTTTATCTTTTTTTGCTAGATTTTTCGCTCTTTCGTCATCTTTCGAGTTATTATTCTCTTGCAGATATGTAGATTTCTTGTAATCAAGCACACAGAGTTCGTCATTTTCAGATGGGATCAAACATAGAAGAAGCTCTTATAGCAAAAGAGAACGCAGAAAAGCTATTCACAGTAAAAGACTTCACAGGTGCCAAACACTACGCCTTAAAAGCTCAAGCAATATGCCCACAACTCGAGGGCATCTCCCAAATGGTCGCCACTTTTGAAATATACGCAGCAACTGTCACAAAAATAAACGGTGAAATCGATTTATACTCTGTTCTTGGATTACACCCTTCTTCAGACAAATCATCACTCAAGAAACAATACAAGAAAATGGCTGTTCTTCTTCACCCTGATAAGAACAAAACCATGGGAGCAGATGAAGCTTTCAAACTCGTTTCAGAAGCATGGAGTGTTCTTTCTGATAACACAAAAAGAAACCTGTACGATGTCAGAAGAAATAAACACTTAACCACTTCAGCTTCAAGACTCGACACTTTCTGGACAGTTTGCACTTCATGTCGTGTCCAATATGAATATTTAAGAAAATACGTGAATAAAAGACTTTCATGTAAGAATTGTCGTGGGGTTTTTGTAGCTGTTGAAACAGGAGCTGCCCCTGTGACTTATTGCCCTTGGTCTTACACAACAACAACTGAAAATGGATATGGAAATCATTCTTCATATAATGATTATAATAATCCTCCTCCTCCTCCTCCTCCTCCTACTTATATACAAAATTCATCAGTATCTTTTTCAGGCGATGGGTCCTCAGGGTTTCATTCAGAATACACCAAAAATCTGTCCTTTCAATGGAATATGTCCTCTGGCGCGTTGACTAGTCAAGATCCCAATCTTGTTCATAAACCAAACGGAAGGGCAAAATCGTCCACAAAGTCAAATCATTTAAATCATTCGAACTGTGAAATCCCGGTTGTTAGGCTTGGAAGGCCTCCAAAAAAGAGAAAGACGGAAGACATGTCGCAAAATGTCAACACAAACGGTGAAAAAATGTTATATAAAACAGATGCTGACGTGGCGTTGAGCAACGGGTATGTTACTCAAAATGTCAATTTTGCCCCTCCTCCGGTTGTTGATGCGAGAAAGTTGTTGATCGACAAGGCGAGAAAGGTGATTCGGTTAAAGTTAGAAGAAATGAAATCGGCTTCGAAAACAATCAAGACCCTGAAGAAATCCCCAATGCCAATAACAGTCCCTGATCCAGATTTCCATGATTTTGACATGGATAGATCCGAAGAAGTGTTTAAACCCAAACAAATATGGGCAATATACGATGAAGAGGATGGAATGCCACGTCTTTATTGTTTAATTCGCCAGGTCATCTCTTTAAAACCCTTTCAGCTTTACATAAGTTACTTAAACTCAAGAACCGATTCCGAATTCGGATCCGTGAAATGGATCGAATCGGGTTTCACCAAATCATGCGGAAGCTTCCGGGTGTTTCATTCGGACATAGTTGACCAAGTCAACATCTTTTCTCATCTTTTGGGGCGTGAAAAAGCAGGGAGAGGTGGGTGTGTGAAGATCTACCCGAAAAGTGGTGACATTTGGGCAGTGTATAGAAATTGGTCAGTTAATTGGAATCGAAAGACACCAAAAGAAGTGAGACATCAATATGAAATGGTGGAGGTTGTAGAGGATTATTCAGAAGAGCTTGGAGTTTGTGTGACTAATTTGGTTAAGTTAAAAGGTTATAAAACTGTTTATCAAAGGGATATAATGAATGGAAGCTTCTGGATTCCAAGAAAAGAGATGTTGAGATTTAGTCATCAAGTTCCTTCGTGTTTGCTTAGAGGTCAAGCTTTGAATTTGCCAGATGGGTGTTGGGATCTTGACCCTGCTGCAACTCCTGAAGAGCTTCTAAGAGCTGCCATGGAAGCTGAACAACAACAACAAGAACAACAAGAAGAAGAAGAAGATGATGAAAAGGTTGAAGATATTGATAAGATTCATAGTGTTGTATAAATTTAAACACATATAGTGATGATGTGTGTGAGAATTTTTACTTTAGGTAGATGGATGGAATGATGGAGGGGGATTTTAAAAAAAAAAAAAAAATCCGCGGCTGTTTAATGCTCAAATTTGTTTTAGAGGGTTTATGTGTTGGTTTTGAGCTACTTGTATTATCTTTTAAAACTTTTAAGAATGCATCTTTTTAACATTTAAGTTTATATACGTTAATGCTATAATGTTAGTTACATATTAACATTAATGGTGGTTTGATTTTGTTGTTCTGTTTGTGCTTAATCTTGAAGTTGTGTTTTGATATATCCAAGTTTGATTAGCTTCCAAGAATCTTGGTCTCATGAATGAGGGATTTGAAAAAAGTTTAAATTTTTTATAAATTTATAGTTCAATAAGTGTTTTTTATGGGTGGGGAGGATGAACATATCTTCATAGAGACTTGTTATTACATGAAAAGGGGGAAAAGAAGCCAAAAAAAGATGAAGAAAGTAAGAAAAAAAAAGAATTTGAATAAAGTAGCCCATTAAAGGAGATGAGAAGAAACATAAGTGGTCTCTTTACACTTCCACATGATTCTCAACAAATGAAGATTAAAGAAATTTACAATCTGCATATAATACAAACATATCCAACTCCTTTTACAGATAAAGAAAAAGAGAATTATGCAAGAAAAACAGTGATGGTGGATCCATTCTTTTCTTCTTCCATAAGGAATCGAGAGTATAGTAGATAAATAATAGGGCTAATAACAAATAACAAAAGGTAATATTATAAAATAACTATCTTTTTAACTTTTTTCATAAAATAACCAATTCAGAAACATTTTTCTTTCATGAAATTGCTTTCTCCATATATTTTTCACAAATATTCTTTTTGAAGAAAATGACATAAACAACACAACTTCGAAACTAACAAAATTTCGAAACTTTGTCAGTCAAAACTCAAAACTGACAAAAAACTTATTCTGAAAAAAAAAAAAATCGAAATTATATATGGTATTTTGAAACTTTGAGTTTCAAAACAACCTTGTTAGATAAAATTATAGGTTTGAAACTTTCAAAGTTTAACAAAAGGTAGAAGGTAATATTACAAAGGATATATATATATATATATATATATATATATATATATATATATATATATATATATATATATATATATATATATATATATATATATATATATATATATATATATATATATATATGCAGAAAAACTCTTATATTAGTTTAATGTTCAGATAAACTAAATTGCAAAATTTTAAGATGAATAATCTGCTAAAAATATGATATCACATACATGTTCTTTATATTCTATTGATTACTTTTGCTCGATTGTGTTCTCCATATGAAACGATACGATTGATTTTTTTTTCTCCTTAACTAATTGTTTTTTTTTTTTTAATCATAATTAACATTTGATGCAACATCATATTTATAGTTGTCAATTTCTGTTGAAAACCCATATTTTGGTCATTTTCAAATGGTAACTATTACTATAAGGGTTTTTTTAAACATAAAAACAATATAATGTGTGTATATATATATATATATATATATATATATATATATATATATATATAGGGAGGGTTCATACGAAAATACAAATAATTTGCGAAAACGGGAAAATAGGAGAAAACTATGAGATTGTGCCACCTTAACCTTATATTTTGGATAATAATTCATCCGAACTTTGAATTACATGATGATACATGAAAAATTGTTTCATATTAGCAAAGCATGATTTTTGACATTTTTATTATGAAAACATGAATTTAAAAGTGGTTAAGGATGTGAAAAAAAAAATAATTGTTAAAACCATCTTTAAATCTATATTATCATAACACAATCCAATGTAAACTTATTATCCTTAATCTATTACTAATAAATTTAATTTTTATAGTACTTATGTTTGATTTTTATAAGATAAAATTTGTTTTCGCAAGATATTTATGTTTTCGCATTAACCTCTCTCTCTCTCTCTCTCTCTCTATATATATATATATATATATATATATATATATATATATATATATATATATATATATATATATATATATATATATATATATATATATATATATATATATTTGTGTTTTTCTACGTATCCTATTACAAATTGACAAAATTTTCTAATTTTTATCACAAAATAACCCATCATTTTGCCAAACATATTTTTTTTTCATGAAATTGCTTTTTCAATATATTTTTCACGATTTTTGTTTGACGAAATTCGGCAAATGACCAAAATGTAAGGTGATTTGAAGAAAATGACCATAAAAATGAAGATATCAGAAAATGACCACAGGTTCCACAGAGTGGTTCTGCGGAATCATAAACACCTCTACGGAATGTGAACACCTCTGAGGATCTTGATTTTTTTCAATTTTTTTTTTCGTTTTTTCTTTGTTTTCGTTTATTAATATTGTTTTTAATCACATAAGTTATTAAGTGATTATTATGTAAAAAAAATTTGTTTTCGTTTTTCATTTGTCTTAATTAATTACACGATTATAAAAGTTGTGTGTTTAATAAAAATTATACACATATTCTATGTTTTTTATAAAATAACACACACCGGTATTCTGAATAATAAATATACTTTAAGTAGGTTACAAAACATACTTTAGAAAACATAAACATACAACTTTCATAATAAACATACTTTGAAATAAACTTCGTTGAAGGCTCTGCAGAATCTTTGTTTTTTAATATTTTTTTGTAGAAATTTTTACATAATAATCACATAAGATATTAGTGTATTTAATATATATATATATATATATATATATATATATATATATATATATATATATATATATATATATATATATATATATATTAAATACACTAATACCTTATGTGATTATTATGTAAAAATTTCTACAAAAAAATATTAAAAATAATGAAATGTTTTATGTAATACGTTTGCCTCAGCGGAACTGGAACACCTGTACGATTCTTGAGTTTTTTAATTTTTATTTTTTTGTTTTTTTGTTTTCGTTTATTAATATTAGTTTTTTTAATACACTAATACCACTACAAACTAAATATCATTTAGTGGCATACATTTTTAATGGCATATGAGTGATGTGCCACAATAGCATGTTTATAGTGGCATATTTTATGTGCCACTATAAAATTTAATGGATTTAATGACACTTAATCATTTATGTCACTAATATTCATAATTATTTATGACCTGATGTTTTAATATGCCACTAAAAGTTTTTTTTTTATTAAAATTATTATTATTATTATTATTATTATTATTATTATTATTATTATTGTTTCAAAAAGATAAGTTTGGTGACCTTCAAAGTTAATAAACTGAAAAAAGAATATTAGACATACATAAACAATAGGCTACTTCGTTTTCTAAGTTATTTATAGATAAACTAATATCTTTAATAGAGTTTGATTTATAAATTATTCAAAGAAACGTGAATGGAATAAGATTTAGATAAAAAAATATTTTAATTGTATATTTTATTGAAGGGAAATTATTTTATGTAACACTCATATGCCCCAAATAGTTCAGACCTAAATCCATTCCAGCTAATAACGAGTATTTGAGCGTACGATCACCATCCTCCCGTCGCCATCGCTGCACCATCACGACACCATCATCTAGTTCGTTGCCACCGTCTTCTAGTTCGTCGGCACCGCACAATCACGCCGCCGCACAATCACACTCCCGCACTACAGGTCGTCATCTCCCTACGCCATCATCGATGCTGTATTTTTGAACTATTATCGACATCTCTTCCCCAAACATGTATTTCATGTCTATTTTAGCTTCAATCCTCTTAGTCCAACTCTTATACACTAACTCTTATACATTGAGTTAAGTTTTCAATTTCTGTTGCTACCTTTCTATTCCTACTCTGAATGTATTCTATTAGAACGATTTATTCTTAATTATGTCATGGATTAATATTGTGAAAAATTCGATACCGATTAATGCACTTTGAAAAGCTTAGTTGCTGAATCAATCGTTATCTTGTTGTAATAGTTGTTAGATTTATATGTAATGTGAAGAATTGAAACAGATGAAATTAATCAATCTGGTTTACCATAAGATTTACATTCTATCTTAAGATTAAATAACTACCTTAAGCATACAAAGATTATAACATGAATTAATCCGAAAAATATGTAGAAAAATAGAACATCCTCACATGGAGAACTGAAATCTATAAGGAGCTATATATACCATGTCTGATTTCTTGAATTACACTCCATTTGAAACTTTTATATATCTGTAAGGAGCTATATAGCATGTTTTCTTCAGTTGTGTTGGTGGCCTCATTGTCTATTTCCTTGAATTTGCTACAACTTTTATATCTGGATATAGCATGTACTTATCTGTTGTGGTTTTATAGCAGGATGGGTAGGCATAAGAGGTTATTCATCACCTCAACTGATATCCCTATTGATAGTGAGATTAATGATCAAAGTTATGAGCTTTCTGCAACTGAAGGAGATCAATCAGGTACACAACTCTACTAAAAGAGATCAATCAAGTCAATCACATACATTTTTATGTCTGTGTAGTTTGACCTTATTAGCCTGATGTTCAAAGTGCAATTAGACATAAATTATGATTTATATCATATAACTTAGTATTGTCTTAGGTTGATCCCCGGTCTTTTGGCTTTAGTGCTATTGTTCCTTTAAGGATTGGAGAAAAAAAGGTATATATATTGTTATAGCTTTATGTGCAAATTGAATCTTGCAGCTGGAACAAATTATGGTGAAATAAGTGTTTGGGATGTCGGAACTCAAGAAAGGATGGTGTATAAACCCTTCAAAGTTTGGGATTTATCTTCTTGCTCAATGTCTTTTCGGGTAATGTTCCTTTATCATTGGCTTCTTTCCATATTCATACACTTGTAGGGTGTTTAGTTTGTGCTCATGATATGAATCATGATTAACTTTGTGTCTAGACAATCTTGGAAGATAATGCATCAGGTTGTGTTAATCGGTGCACATGGGACCAGATGGATCAATACTTGGTATAACTAAAAGTCATATTTTTTTTTTTGCATCTGTAAGTAGATTCTTTTTCCAATATGGACCTCAACATTGGTTTTATCTTTCTCTAGTATATTTGATGCAGTTATCCTTTTCCAGCTTATCTCTATGTTGCATTTGTCTTCAGTTTGTTCTTATCGACATAGTTAATTTGTGCTTAATTATTATTTATTTTCTAAATTATGCCTTATTTAACTGTATTTTGAATCATAATTGTTTGTTTTTGGCCAGGAAATTGCTAGTATTAATTCAAGAGTACAAGATAACAAGATTTATTCAACTTAGCATGAAGTTTGGGAAAGAATTTCATCTGCAATTAAGTTTCAAGTTTCGTTTTTTTTTTTTTTTTTTTTTTTTTTTTTTTTTTTAACTTTCGTTTGTTACTCTATGTTTAGCATGTACTTGGTTCCACATTTAGACATATTTGATTCGAAAAGTTTAAATATATTGATAAAAAATAATGGAATTTTAATTGTTTTCTGCGTATTATAATTTTTGTTTTTATAGATAAAAAATTATGTTGATATAAGTAAGCCTAAATTATAAAATTGCATTAGTATTTACTTGCGTATATGTGCCAAAAATATTTTTGTATTATGAGAAATAAACAAGTGCCACTAAAGTGGCAAATAAAATTTTGAATAGAATGAGGCATTTAATGGCACAAAAGATGTGCCCCAATTTTTTTTTTCTACTGTGTCAAACAAAAAAGTGTCACTAAAAGCTTGAAAAATTGCAGCGGCAAAAACTGAAAGTGTCACTAAAGGGTTTTAGTGGGAGCATTTGTAGTGGCATTTATTATATGTATCGCAGATTCTATGAGAAACCTTTAGTGACACTTTTTCATGTTTTTAGTGGCACTTTTTGCGTGCCACTAAATGACATATTTTTTGTAGTGTACCTTATGTTTTATGTAAAAAATTTGACAAAAAAAGGTTAAAAATAATGAACTTATGTTTAATATCAGAACTGTTTGGGAATCCATAGAACTGTTATCAGCGGATCAGTGTACACCTCTGCGGATCAGTATACACATCTGCGAATCAGTGTAAACATTTGCGGATCAGTATACACCTCTACGGATTTGTGTACACCTCTGTGGACCAATGTACAGCTCTACATATCAGTTATATAAGTTACAAACGTATTTTAGTGGGTTTTTGTGAGTTTGTGAGTTTCAATTACTAGTAGAAGTTGTTTTTTATTGTGTTTGTGGAAAGTGATTTGTAAAATGAGTTTTATTATTTTGTGTACGGAAGGGTCTTGGCAGTTAGTTAATGTAGATGATGTTTACGTTAGAAATAATGTGAAAAACTGCAAATCATTAATTTTAACATTCTTTTGTTAAAATTTTTACATAAAAGATAAGGTATTAGTGTATTAAGAAAAACTAATATTAATAAATGAAAACAATAAATAAAAAAATGAAAAACGAAAAATTAAAAATTAAAAAATCAATATCCATAGAGGTGTTTCGGTTCCTCAGAGGCAAACATATTAGATAAAACATTTCATTATTTTTATTTTTTTTGGTCAAATTTTTTACATAATAATCACATAAGGTATTAGTGTATTTAAAAAAAATTAATATTAATAAACGAAAATGAACGCAAAAAAAAAAAAAAAAAAAGGAATCAAAAAACAAAGATTCCGTAGAGCTATATAGTATCCGCATAGACTTTCATGATGTTTATTTCAAAGTATGTTTATTATGAATATTGTATGTTTATGTTTTCTAAAGTATGTTTTGTAAACTACTTATAGTATCTTTATTATTTAGAATACCAGTGTGTGTAATTTTATAAAAAAACATAGGCTATTTGTAGTAGTATAATTTTTATTAAACACACAACTTTTATAAACGGGTAATTAAATTAGAAAAACGAAAAACAAAACAAGTTTTTTTATATAATAATCACATAATACCTTATGTGATTACAAAAAACAAAAAACGAAAAAAAAAAAATGAAAAAAACCAAGATCCGCAAAGGTGTTTATGGTTCCGCAAAATCTCCTCTGCGGAACATGTGGTCATTTACTGAAATCTTCATTTTTGTGATCATTTTTCTTTAAAGGGTAAATTACACCAATAGTCCCTCATGCAGGTGCCAAAAAACATGTTTAGTCCCTATTTTTAAAAATTAACTTGGATCGTCACTTATATCGTAAAAAGGTACATATTTCGTCCCTCATTGCTTTAAATTTGCATGCTTCGTCCCTTGTGAGAATTGGAATGACTAAAATGCCCTTTATAATTTATTTTTCATTTATTTTTAATATTTATTATTAATTTATTAAACTTAATATATATATATATATATATATATATATATATATATATATATATATATATATATATATATATATATATATATATATATATCTTTTTGTTGAAGAAGACTTAAGCACCACCACCACCACTTGACTGCACAAACACCACCGGAATGCACAACCGCCACTGAAATCTCCACAACCATCACCGGAATGCACAACCAAACACCACTTGTTCCCCTGAAAAATAACCACAAAACCACCACCTCCTTCACCATCGCCACCCTCCTGTACAACAACCGATAACCACCCCCTTTGAACACTACTTGTCACCACTCCATCATCATTACCGTCGGAGGATCTAGCCTTTTGCTGGAGTGCAGATCTGAACGGTAAGGTAGAAGTGTGGGGAGTACTGCAATATCAATACCCTCTCGCCGGAAAAACAGGAGGCGGCTAAGGTTTGGTGCAACGATGGACCACCCACATTTTCCGGTGCAACGGCCTCAAATACTCCCTTCTTCATTCCCCTCCAATAGTGAAACCTTATTCTATCTTCTCAGTTCGATCGACAACCACAGATTGAGAATCAGAAACCAGATCTGCTACCCTATCGTCGGGAATGAGGATGATGATGTAGATAAAGATGAAGGGTGTTGGGAGTTCGTTCTATCTTCTCAGTTCGTTCTTCTTTTTCTGTTCAATGAGGATGATGACGCAGAAGAAGGGTGTTGGCAGGAGTGCATTTGAAGGGTGGTGTACAGATGATGAATGATGGCGGCGATGGTTGCTCTGATGATTGCCTTGCTCCTATGGTGGCTGAGATAGAGTTCATGAGATGCACATAAAGAAATGGATGAGATGTGTGGTCGTCCGTTGGGTTGCAGAAGAGAGAAGATAGTGGATGAATAGATTTCGTCGGTGGCTGCTTTATGGTTGCAGTTTGTCGGTAGTTAGAGGAAAAGGGGGAAACGAGTACACAGAAAGAAAAAAAAATGGGGGGGGGGGGGGGGGGGTTTGAAGATATGTTTTTTCTATTTTTCTTTTTAATGTAAAAATAATAAAGTAATAAAAGAAAATTAAAAAAGAAATTGTTAAGGGTAAAATAGTCTTTTTATGTCTGGAGGGACTAAGCATGTAAGAAAAAACAAACCTAGGGACCGTTCGAGTTAATTTTTGAAAATAGGGACCAAAGGTGCTTTTGGACACATGCACGAGGGACTAATGGTGTAATTTACCCTTCTTTAAACTCATCCTACATTTTGATCATTTACCGAATTTTTCCTTTTTGTTTTCAAGAAAATGAGAAACATTTCAATTTCGAAACTAATAGGATTTCGAAACTTTGTCAGTCGAACTTGGCACAAACTTATTCTCAATAAAATGATAATTGAAATTGTAAAGAAACTTAGATATTCGAAACAACTTTGTATAAAAACCAGTTTTACTTCAAAATTATAGGTTCTAGACTTTCAAAGTTTCAAAACAGTTCTGAATTCATTAGTTATTTTAACAATTTACAAAAAAAAATGCTATGTTATCAGATAATTAACAATATTGATCGTGATCAATTGAGATTTAAACGCTCCAAAAGAGACTATTCCAAAAAAAAAAAAAAAAACCCAGCCCCATGCATCCACCAAATCATGCCTACATGTGTGTGGGGGCCGAGATTCCACGACAATGACTTTCTGCACATTAGAGTACTATCACATCATATTCAGTAACCCTTTCCCACTTTTTTTTTTTTTTTTTTTTTTTTTTATTGTATATATGCATGCCATGACATGCATGATGCATACTGCATACATAATAAGTGGTTAATAGGGTCTTTAGTGGGCATGGGAACACCATTGTAAGTAAAGAGAGGGACCCTTATGCTAGAGGCAAAAGTGTGTCTGTTGTCTGTTTCAAATCGCCTTCCATAGGTCTGTTCATTTCAATACACAAACAAAAACTTAGTTTTTACGCAGATGACTTGACACTTTGTCTTCTTGTTTCCTTTTTCATTCTGGTCATTTGCCCCTATCTCTTTTATGACGAGCTAGACAAACTTAAAATCTTGAAAATAACAGATCCATGATTCAAAGTCAATTTGTCATCTTCTTCACGAATATTTTCTACCCCCTACCCCCTACCCCACTGTTGCTGTGGGGCCTATGTATATGCTCTTAAAGGTCGATCTACTCCACCAATGGTAGAGGATCAGTATAGAGTATAGACTGTACTTCTTGTTGGTTTAGGGTTTGTGTTTAATTGTATGAAAGATGATACCAGATTCAAGATTTTGCATCCTTGCACATGGGTATGGTGAGAAAGTTGCAATTAGTATGTAATTAGATGTCCGAAACTGCTATAAACAACAAAAACTAGAGGAAGAAGAAGAGATTGCATAGTCATTTGAGTTTTGATGGATTTCACTCGTCTGATTTCTGTGAAATTATGAACACAATGCAGAAACATGATTGCAAAATATATCCAAATCTAGTGAGAGTTTGTGTTGGATCATGTGAAAATTATCTTTTTTCTTTCAAGTGGTTGTCGTCTTGTCATTAAAAAAGCAAATAAAAGCATAGGATTTGACGTTGCTTGTTTATGATCGTCGTAGTAGTTTGACAATCTTTGGGTTTGACTACTTGGTTATTACCTTACTAATTAATGTACACCTACTACATGTATACCTTCAATCTTCACAATATTCATCATTTCTTATCTCTATATCTATGAAAGGATAACATTGTTTTCTTGAATATGATTAATATATATATGTTATTATGTTATCAATTTTTTTTAATGCCTTTCAAATGCCAACAAATACATATTTATTTTTAAAAAATTATTATTATTATTATTATTATTATTATTTTGTATGTTTACCTGCTACCTTAAGTTGAATGTGTCAATTTTTTTTTCAAAATTTACACCTTTTGTCCAAAATAGAGTAAATTACATGAATCGTCAATCGTCTAGGTGCCAAAATACACGTTCAATCCTTATTTTCAAAATTTAATTCGGACCGTCTCTCGTTTGATTTTAAGTTGTACGTTTCATCCCTCCAAACATAAAAAGACAATTTTGCCCTTATTTATTTCTTTTATGATTTATTTTCCATTTATTTTTTTATTAATTAATTGTTTATTGTTTTTTTATTATAAGAATAATTATTTATTTTCTTTAATAAAAGAAAGACTATAAACCCTAAATAGATCATCTCCCCTCCCTTATTTCGTCATCAGTGCGTCGTCTTTAGTGTGTGTCATCACCGGACCAAGTCATAAGTCCATCGGAGAAGGAGATTCAAATCGGAGAACAAGGTTCAGATCAAACACAGATTGTCTCCAGCGGCGAGTCTCTTCTGCATGTTCAACCTCTTTCCCACCTTGTACAACGTCCTCCTAAAACCACCAATCGAAATTCAATTGTGGTGGCGACAGACAACGGAATAACAGATTACTGTGGTGGTGATGCTCGATCTAAAACCCCCAAAGTGAAATCCTTCATGAAACCCCCAAAGTTCTTGATCTGAAACCATACATCTCATCTCGATTTCTCAAAACCCTTGCATACGGGTGGCGATTTCTCTTTCTCTATCTCTCTCTTACCCTTTTTCTCTCTCTTTGTGTATTGCATCAACAGACATACACAAGGTGTGTTTGTGTTTTATGTTTTTTTGATCAGGAAGAAGAACAAGGAAACAAATAGCGATGAAGTGTCAAGGATTTCAGGAAAAAAATTAGGTGAGATCAGAGGGAGAGAAACCGATGTGTATATTTCAGGTTTGCAAAAGGATACAACACCATTTTTGATTTCTAAAACGATTTTCAAATTTCTGAAACAATTTTCTGTTTCTAGATTCATTTGGGTTACAAGTTTTAGATCTTTTATTTTTTATTTTCGAGCTCTGGAGAAGAGCATATCGGGAGAGGAAGATAAGGGGTGGGTGTGCATATTTCTGGTGGAACTCTATTTACCGGTGGTGGTGCGGGTGGCTAAGTGTGACAAAAGAGGGAAAAATATATATTTTAATTAAAATATTTTTCAATAATTAAAAATAATTAGAAATGTTAAAAATAAATGAAAAATAAAATTGAAAAGGGCATTGTAGTCATTTCATGTATCATAAGGGATTAAGCGTGTAAATTTAAATTAACGAAGGATGAAACATGCAACTTTTCACCAACTGAGGGACGGTCTGAGTTAATTTTTAAAACTAGGGACTAAACGTGCATTTTGGCACCTGGACAATGGACGATTCGTGTAATTTACTCTCCAAAATACATGGAAAAGAACAATCTGCGTAATAAACTTTGGTGATTTTTTTTTCAAATCTATTTAGTTTTCTCTAAATAAAAACATATGGTAAATGTTATAAAGTTTTTTGATGTGTTTGTATTCATCTAAAACTATATTTTGTTTCGATGTTATACTTTTTTTTTTTTTTTTTCATTTTGACGTATATAGATTGATGCAAAACACTAAAACTTATAATTATGTGTTATTTTTGTTGAAAATGTGTCTAAGCTTATAACTGTAATTGATATGTACTTGAACCGATAGTAGCATGGTCCATTTGGGTTGTATTCATCAAAGCAATATGTTAGGAAGGATATTTGAGTAAGATGTTAATTATGATTTGTTAATATATTATAAGTATAATATATTAATTGAGGAATCACATTATTTAATTAGTATTGATCAAGAATTAATTTAGTGACTAATTAAATTGATATATATATATATATATATATATATATATATATATATATATATATATATATATATATATATATATATATAATATATATATATATATATATGGATTAGACTAATGATCCATAATTGATTAGTGATGGGTTTATAGGTTAATCCATGAAGTGGTTATCCAAATCAAATGAGTGGATCATAAGCTTATGGGTATGGATTAGGGTTACACATGACCCTTGATATTCTACACACACAGACACACACACACACACACACACATATATATATATATATATATATGTGTGTGTGTGTGTGTGTGTGTATCTAAGTTCAAATTCGGCTACCACTTGTATTTAACAAAGTAAGAACCAATTTTAGAGTCTACATAACCTCTCCATATTCATCCTAATTGTTCTTGGTGTTTTGTGATTCCATTTGAGGCATCACACTTGGGGAGCTTTCTTGAGGCCAAGTCATTCAAGCTACTACACAAGGTAATATTCTAACTAGTTTTTTATGATTCAAATATCACCTTACATGCTAGTTTAGACTTCATGTTTTGGAAAATGTTTATTGCATGTATAATTACAGAAAACTTAGATCCAAAGCATTAGGGTTGTATATGCACCATAGGAATGTTACAGTACATAAAACCTAACATTGGTATCAGAGCCATGGGTGTTTTCTATTATATTGATGCAATTGTGTAATTTTCAAAGATGAAAAACTACATTTCGGGATTCTGACATGGCCAACTCGCCGAGTCTATCATTGAACTCAACGAGTTGGATGATGTTTGCCTTGAACTTGAAGAGTCCATTATGGCACTCGACGAGCTGGTGCATCTGATGGCATAATCTTTGAGTTTTTGGCATGTTTTGGATTAGGAACATTACCACAAACTGTTTTGGTTCATAAAATTCGATTTTAATGATATGGTAATGTCTATCCCCATCCAATAACATGATGTTTATTAAATTCTAAGATAACTACTTGTGTTCGTGATATACTAGTTATTTGTAAAATTTGAAGTTATCATGTACTAT